CCCCCCCGCCTCCCCTGCCGGTGTCCGGGGCCATGGGAGGGGTGCAGCCGGGCCACCCGCTGTGCCCGCCTCCCTGGGACCCCAAGCAGGCAGCTCCAGTGCCTGGGGACTGTCCCTGTGCAGCTGGGGGGTCTGTGCAGCCCCAGCGCTGTCAGCACACAGCAGGGCTACCTCCCAGCCACTGGGGTGGGTGCTCCAGCACACCCCGTTCTCATGACTGGTACAGGGGGGGACAGAGACAATTTCTCTGTGCCCCCATCACACACATGCAGACCCTGAGGGGCTGGGGGCAGATGAGGCAGGGCCCCAGCTCCCCTGCACAGCCGGTACTGGGGAGGGCGATGGCTGCACCCGCCCTCCCAGCAGCAGGGCAGGTCGGCACCTCCCTTCCCCTGGCTCACCCTCCCATGCCCCCTAGCCCAGCAGGAAGTGGGGGGCAGTGGGAGGTGCATGTTTCTTCACCCCCTGCTCCTCTCTGCTCTGGGTGGTGCAGGGAGGGACCCGCTGGCTGGTACCGCTCCCCACCTGCTGATGCAAAGGGAGCTTCTCTCCACACAGCCCCTGGACAAAGGCCTCTCCAGCCTCCCTGGTGACCTGGAGGAGGATGGTCACCCCGGGATCCCCAGCTGTGTCTGTCTGTCTGTAGAGTCCCTGTCCTTGCAGGCTGAGCCCCAAAGCCATACATGGTGTCTCCATCGGAGCATCCCCGCTGGCTCCCACTGCTGCCCAGGTGGGGCTGGTCTCCAGCTGAGCAAGAGGAGAGGAGACGAGTCTCCCTTTGGTTTTGGGCCAAGCCTGAGTGCTGGACCCCCAAGGCTTTGGACACTGCTGTGGAACGTCTCTGTCACTTGTGTATAAAATGTACATTGGAAATATTTATATGGACACTCTGTATATACTGTTTCTTTGCCATGAGTTGCCCTGTGTGTGTTATCTGCAGCCAAGGAGATAAAGGCAAATAAAGCAACCCACCTCCTGCCAGGCCAGCTTTTCTGTGTGCTGCCTTCTGGGCCTCCCGTGCAACCTCCAGTCTCCTTGTTGCCCACCCTGTGAGGTCCGAGGGATTTCCATCTCAGACTGACAGATTATCAGCCCTTTCTCCTCCAGCTTAGGAGCTGGTACCAGCAGTCCTGTGCCCAACTGGAGCTCCTGGTGGACATGGTGAAAAACTGTCCCTGGTTGATGAGAAGCTCACCAGGAGGCAGGAATGTGCGCTAGAGCCCAAAAGCTGTGTCCTGGGCTGTATCAAAAGCAGCATGACCAGCAGGAGCTGGGAAGGGACTCTCTCCCTCTACTCCACTCTCATGAGACCCCAAATCAAGTACTGTGACCAATTCTGGAGCCTCAAACACAAGAAGGACGTGGAGCTGTCACAGTGAGTCCAGAGGAGGCCACAAGGTGATCCAAGGGCTGGAGCAGCTCTGCTCTGGAGACAGGCTGGGAGAGCTGGGGTGTTCAGCCTGGAGAAGAGAAGGCTCCAGGGAGACCTTAGAGCACCTTCCAGTGCCTGAAGGGGCTCCAGGAAAGCTGGGGAGGGACTTTTACAAAAGCATGGAGTGATAGGACAAGGGGGAATGGCTTTAAACTGGAAGAGGGCAGATTTAGGTTAGATGTTAAGAAGAAATTCTTCGTTGCATGGATGGTGAGACACAGGCATGGATTTCCCAGAGAAGCTGTGGTTGCCCCATCCCTGGCAGTGTTGAAGGGCAGGTTGGATGGGGCTTGGAGCAGCCTGGGCTGCTGGGAGGTGTCCCTGCCCATGGCAGGGGGGGGGGGGATGAGCTTTGAAGGTCCCTTCCCACCCAAACCATTCCATGATTCTATGTGTCAACCCCAGGTGCTGTGGGTCCATTCAGGGAGATGGCCTCAGAGGGATACACAGCTCCAGTGGGATCAGAGATAGGCACAGAAGAGCTGTGTGTTGGGCAGGGGACATGCCAGGACAGAAGTGTTGGGGCCAACTGGTCTCTGTGCTCAATAGTGAGTTTGAAGCTGGAGGCAGAGGTGGGCAGGGAATGATGGGCTGTCCTGGTGAGCAAGGAGCCAGGCATAGGATTGCTGCAGAAGCTGGGGTCACACAGACAGCCCCCCAGCAGTGAAGGGAGCCGTGGGTCTCCACCCTGCCGTCCCTGACCCCACAGGCTGGTGGCACAACACGGCCCCAGTGCTGCCAGCTCTCTCCTGGCTGCATCCAAGGCCCCACCACAAGGGACAGTTTGGGGCTCCTGTGTCCCCTCTTGCCCTCCTGGGTCCAGGCTCTGGGTTGCTCTGGGCAAAGGTCTGGGTCCCCAGGCCTGCGTGGGGGTACTAAGGAGGCATCAAGACACCCTGCAAACACCCCCCCCAGCACCCTACCTCCCACAGGTACCCCCCAGCAGTCCCATCCAGACTGCAAACACCCCCCCCAGCACCCTACCTGCCACAGGTACCCCCCAGCAGTCCCCTCCAGACCCCTGTTGCCCCTTCCCGTGCCCCTCACATGGCAGAGCCACACGGGTGGCTGCAGGTGGTGGCTCCAGACCCTCCACCAGGTCCTTGCCACATCATTATGTGCTGACTGAGAGTGCCTGTCCTGCTCCTGCTCCTGTTCCCAGCCCTCCCTGCCCGTACCGGTGGCTGCCCCTCGTCCCTCCTCCCATTGGAGCCCCTCACGGACCCGGCCCCAGCCCAGTGCTGGGTTTGGTTAATTTCCTGGCGACTGCATTAGCAGAAATGGAAGCCGAGGGACGGCAGCTCCTCTGGGGCCCATTAATCATCCCCCTCAGACAAGCTGCCTTGATTACAAGTGGCAAGAAATTCATTAGGGCTGCGGCTCTGACAACTTTTATCTGCGCGGCTGGATCTGACTCATTAGGCAGCCAAATTAAAGCCATGATGGGCCCTGATGAAATTCACTGCTTGTTTATCTTGTGCGATCTGATACATCTGCCCATACATCATCTCCCGGGCGGGATCCCGCCCGGCCCAGCCCTGGCACCTCCCTTCCCATCCCAGCCCTGCCCTGACCCACCAGGAGCTCCTGGCCAGCCCCAGCCCAGCTCCAGAGCCAGCCCCAGGCTGCGGTCTCCAGGCAGCCCCCTTGCCTGCCCCACATCCCACCTTTGGGGCTGGGAGATGTGGCTGTGCCATCAGGAGCCATGTGAGAACAACGTTGGAGCCACACGGCCCTGGGCAGACCCTCCAGGGCTGTGGGTGCCCCAAGGGGGCTTCCCCAGTCCTCCAGGGCTGCCCCAGTGCCAGGGCTGTGCTGCCATGGGCAGCTTCCAGGCTGCTCCATCCTGGCAGGAAGGGGCTTGTGCTGAACACGAGTGTCGCTGGTATGGAAAGCACCGTGCCCAGCAGCAGGGCTGCAGTCCTGCCCTGCCCAGCCCTGTTATCCCACTGTCCAAGCACATCTCGGCACCAAGATGGCACCTCATGGCTTGGCGTGGTCTCAAGGACAGGACAGGACGAGGCAGGACCTGCTGTGTCCCTCTCGAGGGCACAGGCAGCAGCGGGGCCGTCCTTGCCCGACGCAGCCCCAGCAGCAGCCGTGGCCACCCCAGCTCCTGGCAGCACCTCAGGACGTTCCCACAGCACCCCAAGCTGGAGCAGCAGCTGCCACAGCACGTGAGTGCCACGGGGCAGCAGGCAGGGATGCACACTCGTGCCCTCAGCATATCCAGGGTGTGCAGCTCTAGGCTGGAAACTACAGGTCTACAACCTTTCCCAGAGAGCCTGGGCACAGCAGACCGTGCCAGGACAAGTTCCATACAGCACAACCCACAAACAAAATCTCACAGGCCCCCTCACAGCCCTCGCTGAGCTGGCACAGCCTCCTGGGGGTTACAGAGGGGGCAGCAGCATGGGTCAGTACAACCCTACCCTGGGCAGGCACTGGGCACATGCTGAGGTGCTTTTACAAGAGATGGCCAGAGGGGAGATCATGCTATTGCCCTGCACTTCCAATTAGTGTTCCCCACCAGCCCTGCTTCTTTGAAGGAGAGGGCACAGGTGTGACACAGTGTTCCAGCTCCCTTGGCCTGTACTTGTCAAGATGGGTCACCAATAGGCCCCACTGCTTGCACCTGAGTGAGCAGCAGCACAGCAGAGTGTGGCTGCAGTCCTGCTCTCCTCCCAGCCCCCAGTTCCAGCACTCCCTTGATCGCTTCTTTCATCTCTTGGGCCATTTTCCTTTGGCACTGAAGATGCACCCACCAGGAGTCTGCAATCTGCTGCCAAGGCCACCGTGACCAGGCCACTGGATCCTCTCTGCAGCTGCACCCCAAACTCTGTGCCACTGTGGAGCTGGTTGTAAAGGGAATTGGAGGGGGGAGATCATGACACTTCCCAGGGGCCTGGCTGGTGGGAAGGGAGCTTGTTCCTCTCCTCCCCTGTGCAGTCAGAGCAAATTCCACCCCTCCCCCCCAGGGTGCAGGTTCATTGTAGGATTCCTGCAGTGAGGACACCCATGCTGCACAGGGCAATTTTCCTCCAAGGATCCACTCCCTGGAGCACTGATCCCTCACAATGGGCTGTGCATCCTCTTCTCTGGTATCCATGGCCAGGCACTCCTGACCACGGGCAGGAGGGTGGTGAGCTGCTCCCTGCAGGCAACCTGCAGCAGCAGGGAATCCCCCCAGCACAGCACAGCACGGCAAGGCACAGCACAGCCTTCCTCTGCCCTGCCTCAGCCCTCCTGGCACAGGGAGCTGAGGACCCATCACAGCCACTGCTGTGCACCAGATTTGGAAATAAAAAAAGCCCTGTGGGAACTGCTCTGTGAGCCTCTACCAGATCAGTAGAGCATCCGAGCAAGCCCTGGTGAGGCTGACTAATGAACAACAGAAGCACCATGTTGTGGCCCATCAAATCCTCACACAAGCCCATTGTTGCAAAGATATCTGAACCACCTTGTTTGCACTGAAAACCCTTTCCCGAGAGGGGACCACTGAGTGAATAAATACGCTGTGACTACCCTATGGGATGCAGTCACTGCTCCTGCCCTTGCTCTTTAAGAACCATGGTCCAGGTAAAAGAGTGAACAGGTCTGGGGAGAAATAATTCCCTTGAAAAAGCTGAAAATGTCTTCGTGAGGGAAAAATAAGTCCTGTGTGTATAAACACGTATGTATAAACAAATACGAACATGTGAACACTTGTCTCTATATGTCTACATCTGTGTCTACCTTTTACTCTGTGTGTGTGCACAACTGTACATTTGAGAATCCACTGAGAGTCCCTTCACCCCACCCCCAGTTCTTACTCTAGGACACAAGACAACAGACAGAAGGTGGTAGATGGGAAATTCCAACTAGACAAAGAGAAAATACAGTAGCAAGGCAGTCAGACACTGGAACAGAGGATGAAGAGGTGGGATTGGCATCCTTGGAGGTACTTAAAGTCCTCTGGACAAGTTCCTCAGTATCCTGATCTCATGGGGCCAGCTTTGAGCAGCTGTTGGCCCAGAGACCTCCCAAGGTCCCTTTGGTTCTCTCCTGCCAGTCTGTCTTATGGCCCTGTTTTTCATCCTTGCTCCCTTCCCACCCCCCAGTCTGACTGATGCAGCACCTGCAGCTCCAGCCTGTGGGGCAAGTGGCACCCTCTGCCCCAGGGTTGTTCTGCTTGGGGAGGGATGTGTCCCCTGGGTGCAGCGCTGGCAGTGCCATCCTCTGCATCCCCTGTTGAGCTGCAGCTCTGCCACTTGTGCTGGGCAGGAGGCAGCAGCCTCTGCGATGCAGAAGGTCCTCAGGGGAGCTCTGTGCTGCACAGC